TCCCCCCCCCCCCCCCCCCCCCGCCCGCCGACCCCACCCTCAGCGCTGCCGACACCAAGCCCGGCATCACGGGCAGCGGCGCAGGGAGCAGCGGCCCGGGCGGCCTCACATCTGCGACAAGAAGGTCATCGCAACGAAGGTTTGGGAACAGTAAAATGGTTCAATGTAAGAAACGGATATGGTTTCATCAACAGGAATGACACCAAGGAAGATGTATTTGTACACCAGACTGCCATAAAGAAGAATAACCCCAGGAAGTACCTTCGCAGTGTAGGAGATGGAGGGACTGTGGAGTTTGATGTTGTTGAAGGAGAAATGGGTGCGGAGGCAGCAAATGTTACAGGCCCTGGTGGAGTTCCAGTACAAGGCAGTAAATATGCAGCAGACCGTAACCATTATAGACGCTATCCACGTTGCAGGGGTCCTCCACGCAATTACCAGCAGAATTACCAGAATAGTGAGAGCGGGGAGAAGAATGAGGGATCAGAGAGTGCTCCCGAAGGCCAGGCCCAACAGCGCCGGTCCTATCGCTGGCGACGGTTCCCACCTTACTACATGCGGAGACCCTATGGGCGTCGACCACAGTATTCCAACCCTCCTGTACAGGGAGAAGTGATGGAGGGTGCTGACAACCAGGGTGCAGGAGAACAAGGCAGACCAGTGAGACAGAATATGTATCGGGGCTACAGACCACGATTCCGCAGGGGCCCTCCTCGCCAAGGACAGCCTAGAGAGGACCGCAATGAAGGAGATAAGGAAAATCAAGGAGATGAGACCCAAGATCAGCAGCCACCTCAACGTCAGTACCGCCGCAACTTCGATTACAGACGCAGACGCCCAGAAAACCCAAAACCACAAGATGGCAAAGAGACAAAAGCAGCCGATCCACCAGCTGAGAATTCGTCCGCTCCCAAGGCTGAGCAGGGCGGGGCTGAGTGAAAAATGCCGTCTTACCATCTTTACCATCATCCGGTTTAGTCATCCAACAAGAAGAAATATGAAATTCCAGCAGTAAGAAATGAACAAAAGATTGGAGCTGAAGACCTTAAGTGCTTGCTTTTTGCCCGTTGACCAGATAACTAGAACTATCTGCATTATCTATGCAGCATGGGGTTTTTATTATTCTTACCTAAAGATGTCTCTTTTTGGTAATGACAAACGTGTTTTTTAAGAAAAAAAAAAAAAAAAGCCTGGTTTTTCTCAATACACCTTTAAAGGTTTTTAAATTGTTTCATATCTGGTCAAGTTGAGATTTTTAAGAACCTCATTTTTAATTTGTAATAAAAGTTTACAGCTTGATTTTTTCAAAAAAGTCAACAAACTGCAAGCACCTGTTAATAAAGGTCTTAAATAATAATAAATAAATAAATAAATAAATAAATAAATAAAATCTTCTCTGATTTTCAACTCCCACATTGAGCTTATCTTTGCTGGGCCTGCTGGGCCTCAAAAGTGCATCACGACCAACTGTAAGTTTTCCATGGCCCCACTTCTGGACTCTGAAGCAATCATATCAACCTGTGTTTTAGGATTTTATCCTCAAAGAGTCTGTCTGTCAGGTCCCAGCAGTGACCGATGGCATAATCACACAGGAGACAAGTTCAGTGGAGGATCTGTTTGCAAAGGGGGCAGAGTTACAGGAAACCAATAGGGAATAGTGATGCAAGAGTGAGAAGCCACCATAGTCTCTCCGGCATGAAACAGCCTGGAGAAGGAGTGGTTACTAGAACCCAGAAAAGGGGTTCTACTAGCCTCTACTAGCTCTAGCTGTGACGGCAGGACAAGAGCTGTGGGCCATGGTAGAGGAAGGACCCGCAGCCAGCCAGTGGTCTGCACAGAGAGTATGTG